AGGAGAGGTTATATTTTTAAAATGTTTTGTTTGGGGAATTTTAAGACATACAAGAGTAGAACAGTGATTATCCTCAATTAATCACCAATGAGACTCATGGCTTTGTGTGCGCGTGCATATGTGTATATCTATCCCCTGCCCACTGTGGTTTTTAAGCAAGTCTTAGACACAACCAGTTAATCTAAATAATTCAGCATATCTTTCTCAATGACAAAGGCTCTTTGAATAATAATTGATAAATAGAAACAGGATAAACTTTTAACTGCCGTAGTTATCAAACAATAGTGCTGGGCCAATCATTCAGTTTCTATTATGTCTCTCAAGAGGACTGTAAATTTTGTTGCCCTAGTCTCCCTCCTTGCTGGAATGTAGAGATACAGACTATACACACACACACACACATACACACACATCATCTCCCTTTTTGTTAAAACTTGTTTTTTTCCTTCAAAGAGATCAAAGTGCATTATTTTTCAGTATTGGTTGAAATTCATTTCCTGCCTTTCTCATTTTTAGCTAATAATGACCTAGTCAAATTGCTCAGCTTCAATATTGACCTCCTCTTCTTAGAACATTACTCATATGTAGATGGTCTCTCTGGTTCCTTAAATATGCTTAGCATTGCAGAGGATGACCAGCATTATTTCCAAGGTCTGAGAACATTTGGACCACTTTTGGATTGAGCTCAAGCACCCTCTGACTCAAGTTTCTAGAAATGTAAAAATTGAAAACTTTATGGTGTAAGTTGTCAAGCTTGCATCCATTCTGTGTGTTTAAGAATGCATTGTGGATGAGCTGTGTCAGTATGTTTTTTACACATTATGTGCATGAAACAAACACTTGAAGTTATTGTATATGCATTCTACGGGATAGGACTTCATTCAGGGCTGGTTTTCAAATTTGAGACCTGGCTGATTTTTTTTTTAATTTGTTTCTGAAAAAACCCGAGGTGACTACCACTTTGAAATTTTGTATAACAGTTGTAATGTTTGCACATGGTTAAAGAAAAACAACAGAAGTGTTTGGTGATTTATGTCTCCCTTCTACTTCTGTCTCCCTGTCGTTCTTCCTCTCCAGGAGCTATTGCTGTTAACAATTATTCTTCCAAGTGTTTCCCTCCCCCCACCCTCCTGCCCCACTGGGCAGTGGGGCATAAGCATATATGTATAGGTCTTTTAAAAATATATGATATATACTCGTGTTTTGAATCTTGCTGTTTTCACTTAGTATACTTTAAAAACATTATTTAGAGACATAGAAGGCAGCACGTTTAAGTTGAACGCGTAGTTTTCAAAAGTACATTTTAAGTAAGCCAAAGCAGAGACGTAAATGTATTTTTTATTGTTGTATAAGAATTTTGTATTTTTTTTAAATACAGTTTAAAGAGTTTCACAGTTGATCTGTTTCTTCCCTTCAGCCATCCAGTTAGATCAGTTGTCAGTAGATTTAAGAATGTTTAGGAACAACACCTAAGAGGAACAATTGGGCATAACTGAGTGTGCCATAGCTCTTTCGTGGCCCTTTGCCCCTACATGCATACCCTAGAGAAACTGACACCTGTGCCAAGAGCTGGCTGTCAGAATATCCATCCTTTGTAATAGGATTAAAGAAGACGAAAAACCTGGGAAGACCCCAATGTTCATCAAAGCATGTTGGAGATATATATATATATTTATGTATATAGTGGTTTATTCCTACAATGGAATGCACAGAAGTAAAACTGAACTACAGCTCTACTTATGAAACATGGATGAATGTCAGTAATGTTCAAAAACAAGTCACAGAAGAATACATCTGCTATGTTTCCATGCCTGTGAAGGGCAAAAATGGGCTGTTAAAAACATGATAAAGAAAAACAAGGAAGTGATGTTAGTTGCTGTATTGGAGGGATGGAGGGAAAAGTGATTGTGGAGGGCCAAGAGGAAGGATCTTCAGAGGAACTGGTGATGCTCTATTCTTGAAGCTCGTTGGGCATTTTCTTTTTTTAAACTGTATGTTTATGTGCTTTTGTATGTGTGAAATTTCTTAATAAAATTTAAATTAAAGGAAATGGGAAAAGGTCTTGGTGTAGGTAGTGATTAATAACAGGTTTATGAACATAATTTATTTCATGAAGGTGACTCCCTCAATGAGTGGTAGATTTAAAAGGTGCTTCTTGAAGGCCAAATTTGGGTGTCAGTTGTAGTTCTTTAAAGGCTAGAAAAGGACATAAATGTGTGTTTTATTTGTGAGACCTTATTTTCATCTTGACACAGTTTTCATTTGGTATCAGCCAGGGAGCTGACACTTTTTGTTCTCCTGCCTAAGCAGCTTCCAAGGAACAGTTTTCTGATTTATTACATTCCAGGAAGGGAAGCTGCTGGGCCTAGCTCACTGTATGCCTTCTCCTTTCTCAAGTTTTGTGGTCTCTGCAAAGAGGCTGCTGTTCTTGGCCTCGTTCTGATTTTAGTAGGGGGTGTTATGGAGTATTAACTGTTTATAAAGGAAGAAAGGTGATAGAAACTTAAAATGCACCTGCAAGCGCATAGGCTCATCAATTTGTGGTGGCCTTCTCACCCTCCAACCCTGCTGACCTACTGAGACCTGGATCCCCTTGGTGTGAGCTCAGGATTTGACTGGAATTCTTCAGTGCATCCCTGAATGCACCTGTGCAAGGTGCTAGTCTGAGAACTTCAAATGCATCAGTGAATAAAACAGGCACCTCCCTCTTCTGTGGAATCTCTCCACATGGCAGTAGTGGCACAGCCAGGGCTATGAACTAGCACAGGGCTGCTTCCTTTGATTGGCAGGAATGGAAAGGGGCCACTGAACTCCACTGTCAGTGAGCATAGGTTGTGAGCAAATGAAGAACTATCATTCCAGATTTCATTTTAACCTAAATAATCTGAAATTCCTGTGGAATTGAATTGCTTTTTACTTGGGAATTCATTTTTATAAACAATGTGCGAGGTGAAATCTAATCAAAATTATTCTCGAAGCTCTTCATACTTAAGTATTTATCATGCTTTAGGGTGCAGGCTGTGTTCATTAGTAGAATGAGTGTTAAATTTGCTCATCAACGTGGCCCTCATTGATCTTAACTAGTAGCTGGTATTGCCTGTGTGGGTTCTGTTATCAGGATAGTGTAAATTTTTCTCCTGGCAGTAGTAGGGTTTTTCTTTTTTTCATCACAGAGTTTTATGTTACTGTATTCATTTTAAAAAACAACCAAGAATCTCATCTTTCCACAAATAGTGATTTCAGGTCATTAATATAACCAATCTTAAGTTTTCCTCAGTATTGTCAAACAGACTAGAAAGTGCCTTAGGGCAGTGTCATTTGGGAATTGACCTCATGGGTACTGAGCAGGTTGCAGATCAGATTTCCCATTCATCCATTACTTTCCATGAGAGAAATGGCCTGCACTCTGCTATTGCATCATTTAAACCTTTTCCTCTCTTGGACATGTGGGTAAAATAAGTGTTCAATGTAGTGCAGCTAGCTGTTGAGAAGTGGAGGGCACAGTCATTTCATGTGCTGGTGATACAAGCAAGAGGGTCTTCCCTGTAAGGATTCTGATGGGATTTTTTTACCTATTTGATAAGGATTTAGAGGTGGCTTTTTAGTATAGTAATGGATGTGTAAAGGTAAAGAGGGTCAAGCAGCTACCTGAATATTTTACAAAGGACAAGCAGATAGGTATTGGGGAAAAGTTACGAAGAGTGTTGACTGGGTAGTGTGGTAGGGCAGAGTCTGTTGAGATGTGACAGTCATCAACCCTTTTTTCCTTGAGTTCAGAGGACCAGCAGATGGCATAGTGGTTATGTCACTGGATTCCCACATCGTCAACAGTGGTTCGAGTTCTAGATCTGGTGACTTGAAACTCACGCAGGGTACATGTGCATGCATGCTCAAGATCACAGGAAGAGAATGAAAGAGGGGATTATAGTATGGCCATCCCCCTGGGAGGTGTTTTCTCACTTTTTCTCTCACTGTCTCTCTCTCCAGTGAACCTAAGACAAAAACTTTAAAAGTTCAGTAATCTGTAAGCTTATATGGTCTAAAAAAGAAACAAACGTGGAAGGTTGTTAGTCATATCTCGTGCCATTATTGGTAAGTTAGAAAGTGTGTGCATGTAAGAAATGATAGTAAGTTGCTTTTAAAGATGAGCTCTGTTCAATCCAGTGTTGTCGAGTGGGTCCTGGCTTTCCCTGCGTCATCTGCTCTCCATGCCTTTAGGAGTTCATGTGAAGAGACACCCTGGCTATTTGTCCTGACTCATCACAGTATGGCAGAGCCTCATCAGGATGGTGAGTGTTGGTATAGGTCCCATACCTTAGGATTTTTGTACAAATTAAATCGTTTATCTCATCTCAGGGAGGCAACTCCAAAATCTTCACAGAGCCGTCATCCCCAACCTCTGCCAGCCTAGTGCATGGGTACACACACACCTGGGTAGTACAGGCTGGATCCAGGAAGCAAACCCGGGATCTTCCCCTTAGGGTCCAGTTGCATTACTGCTGCTCCACCACCTGGCCTCTCCATTTTATCTATCTAGTTTTTGCTATACGGTGCGTGTGCTTGCTGGAGGGAGATGAGAGAAGGAAAGAAATCACCCCCTCAGGGGTAATAGCTATGGCATAATCCCTGTTTTGGATTTTTGGATGCGCCCGTACAGTTGCCACCATCGGGACTCATGATGCCATATGGGATCCAGCTGCCTTAACCTCTACACCATCTGCTGGCCCTGGCCTCTGTGGTTTTTATGACTTTTGTCAACATACTTTAAACTTATTTTTCTCCCAACCTAGAGAAATCAAAGATGCAGAAATGTAATTTTCTAAAGTTCAAACATGACTGATACATGCATCCAGACTTGATGTAAATAATGATTACAGTTTTTAAAGAATTACTTTATTTAACTTTATCCATTTATTTATTTTAATTTGACCAGAGAGGGACAGAGCGAGAGAGAAAGTGAGAAAGCAAATTGCCAGGTCCAGGCAGTGGGCCATGTGGGAGTCCAGCATCCTTAACCACCACACCACCTGCTGGCCCCTGTTAAAGATTATTTAATAAGTCATTTTTGCAGCATTACTATTATAACAGGACCTGTGTGTTAGAGATGATGTGTATTCTGTCAATTCAGAGCTTCCGTTTTTTGTTAAAGTGAGTTCTACCTCCTGAAAGTTCTGTAGTCTTCGAATGTCTTCGTCCTTAAGATGGAAAAGAAATTATACATTGGTTTATAAATAGTATGTGACATTATAAGATAAGCTTTTAATATTGGCTAGCATCTGAAGTTCTTGCCTGATCTCCTAAGATTTATGTATTTTATCTCTCTCTGTGGTAAACTATATTAGCATTTATACAAGGAGGGACTTTAGGCCAGGACATTTAAAAAAATAATCTGTGACTTAATGTATAAAGAATGTACAGCCTAGACATCCCTAATTCAAAACTTTTTAAAAATTATTTAATTCCATTTGTTGTTATTTTTTTAAATTTGACCAGACAGAGACAGAAAGGGAAAGTGAGAGAGCAAGCTGCCAGGTCCAGGACTCAAACGATGGTCGGCCATACAGGAATCCAGCGCTTTAACCACCATTCCACGTGCCAGTCCCCTTAATCCAAAACTGGAAATATTCCAAAGTCAAAGTTTTTTGAACATTGATTTGATACCGCAGTGAAAATTTCACACCTGGCCAAAAACACTGTAATATAAAAAATATAAAATTAACTTGAGGCTGTATCTATAAGGCTTATATGAAACAAGTTTTGTGTTTAAACATGACTTGCTTCTCATCCCCAGGATATCTCCTGTGTGTGCAAATACTTAAAAAATCCCAAAACACTAGAATCCCAAGCACTTCAGATAAGAGTACTCATCTTATGTACTGGCAGCTACTACACTAATATGAATTGCCAAGGGCCCAGGTGCAGTGGCTTAGGCTGCACTGGTTGAGGCCAAAAGGGCAACCTGGGTTTGGTTCCTGGCCCGATCTAAATGGTGCAATCTCATCTGTAGTCCTAGCTAGTTGGGATGCTGGGGCAGGAGAATTTGTGAGATGGCAAGAGACCCTATCAGAAATATCCCCCAAAATATTGCAAAAGGCATTTTGAAAGTTTGTAGATTTTGTGTCTTTTAAGAAATCATATCGAGAACATCTGTATTTGGATCTGGAAAATATGTAAAAGTGCAAAAGATTGCAAAAGTGAGCCTTTGTTAATTGATAAGGATGAGTTTATGTTTTCTGTCCAGAGGACTATGACTTGACCTTGTATTAACCAGGTTTTGCAGAGGTTGATAGAGCTGAAAGTCCTGAACTAAAGTCTTAGTTGTCATTTTGGGGTTTGTTTATTTTTAAGTTCTATGAGTCAAGTGCACCAGATTGAAATTAAGTTTTAAGATTGAAATTAATTTTTAAGTTCTATGAGTCAATGCACCAGATTGAAAATGACTGAGCTGTCTCTGGGAACGACAGGTGGCATGGTGGTTAAGGATGCTGGACTCCCACATGGCCCACTGCAATTTGAGTCCCAGACCTGGCGGCTTCCTTTCTCAGTTTCCTTCTCTCACATACTGTCCCTCTATAGTCAAATTAAAAATAAGTAAGTAAATTAAATAAATAAAATAATTCTTTTTAAAAATAATAAATATATTATTGAGCTATAAGTTTTATCCATAAATTACAGAAGTAACTATTTTGTATGTCCTTTTTCAGGAGGATGCTGTAAGGACCAACAAAATACATATCATTTAGCTTACTTACACAAAAGACACCATACTGATATCAAGGACAATAAAAAGACAAATTTTAAAAATAAAAATTCCAGTCTAGTTACTTTTTTAAGTGTCAGGTTACTACTAATCATTCAAATGTTCATGGGTCAGAACACTTGAGCGTAGACATAGCCTCTGTGCTGTCTGCCCACTACTGACACAGCTGTGACACAGCAGCCACAACTGCAACGCCTCTAGGGGCAGGTAAAATAATTATTTTTAAAAAGAAAGAAAAGGACTGAGCTCTTATGTTTGGTCATTCTGCAGCCAGAATTTCAAGGGTCCTGAGTTTTGTTTTCATATTAGGAATGCAGAAGTTAATGATTGGCTCCATGAAACATAATTTTACCCTCCAACATTCTGTCAGGAATTTATAAACTACCTTTCGGAGCAGTGTGTTTGGTAGCTTTCTCATCTTCTCCACTTGCTCTGGGTCAATTCCCAGTTCAGAGCAACTCAGTTTCAGTAGGTTTTGGTAACTCAGCTCTTGTCTATTCAGTTCAATTTCAATGAAGTCATTTTCTTTGGGGCTCTGAATTCTGATTTTAAGCACCAGCTCTAGACCACCTATAAATTCAAATGCATTTTGTAAGAGAACCGACACCCACTTTTTCAACATTATCAACTATTGAAGCATAGATAAATCCTGAAAATGGAATAATTACACATGGAGCTTTCCTAAGCATATATACACTTGGCGTCAGCTGAGTCGAGTCTTGGAGTTCTGGACAACCTCTGGAATGTATGCCCATTATAGCCACCACAGACAGCTTGCAGTTTGAAGCCAGCCAAGGTCTTAAAATGTGTAATGGATATTTAAATGCATCACTCTTGGGCAATACGTAGCAGTTGTCTTTACCTTGTGGGTTATTCTGAAAGCTCCAGGGAAATGCATAGCACTGGATCTGTTTCTAAAGATGCCATTTGCAGAACTGCAAAGCTGCTGTCTTTGTTCCACACTCCCTCCTACCCCCTGCACTCAGCAAGAGTGCAGCAAGAGGTATGCTCTGGGAAGTGGCAGGATTGACAGCAGCAATGGGTGTGAGTCAGCAGGAGCAGTATGAACTTAAGGACATCAAAAGAGGACTTTGGCTTCACAGCATGGCCTAGGGGCCAAGCCCTCACCTGGACCGTTGGCATCATCACTCGGCTCTGTGGACAAGCGTGGATTGGCACCTTTTTGTTTATGCTCACCTAGAAAGAAAAGGAGAGAGGCAAGCTGCTGCAGCGCCTCAGCATCTGGCCGCCTGCCAACTCTATTAACGGGTGACACTGATGCCCACCTCCACTTCCTGTCCCGCAGCTCATTCCTCTGTGCTTAAGGGAGAAGACAAGTCAGGAAAAGGGCAGTAATTACATCATTCCTCAAGAGTAATTTCCCTTAATCACCACCCAAATCTTGAAGAGCTGAGAGTATTTTCAAGTGGTGTGTAATCTGGGGAAGAAAAGTTTATAATCTGTGCGTAACTCAAATGTACCTAAATATTTTCGGCACAGGGTGCTTTGCACCGCCAGTTCTGAAGCAGAGTTGGACAGTTAGTGGGTATCTGTGTTCTTACAAAACGTGTTTGAATCTGTTGGTCTAGAGCCTAGTGCTTAAAATCAGAATTCAGAGCCCCAAAGACAATGGCTTTGTTGAAATTGAACTGAACAGATAAGGGCAGTTAGAAGGACCCCTTTACACCTTTCACCCAGAGGGAAGGAATGTGGCTTTGCACATGCCAGGCCTCTTACACAGATTTTCTCTCTTACCCCTGGGACTGTTGAAGGCCTGCTGTGCACCAGGCACTGGGGAAATAACTGAAAACCCTGAAGAGGTCTCTGTCCTAGAGTCTACAAGCCAGCAGCATAGGAGACATGTCAGTAAGTGGGAAATTAAGCTGTGGCAGGTTGGTGAGGTTCATGCTACTGTGAAAACGAGGGGTCCATGAAGGTTTTCTCTGAAGGCCGGACTTTGGAGCTGACACCTGAAGGATGAATAGGCGTGTGAAGATCCAGAGGACAGAGAGGGTCAAGAGCTTGACTGGGGCAGGTGAAGATGGAGGGAAAGCAACACTTGGGAAGAAAGAAAACTTCAACATGGCAAGGCAGAGAGCATGGAGGGACAGTGAGGAGACTGCAGGGCTAGGTGATGTGATCAGGGATGTGGCCTTGCTGTGCAGCGGGCAGCCCCCATCCCAGGAGATGAGATGTTTGAGGTGTAAAACACTGTTTTCAAAGACAGGAAAGAATGTTTTCATGCTGATTGCATGTCGAGCTAATGGTTTGGAAATACTGGTGAAGTAAAGCAATTAAAGCTTCATCTGTTTTTGCCTTTTTTTTTTTTTTTTTAATTAATTATTTGTATCAAAGTTTGACCAGAGAGGAATAGAGTGAGAGACCACGAGAGGGTTGGAAAGTGAGAAAGCAAACCACCAGGTCCAGTACTTGAACTGTGGTCAGCCATGTGGGGATCCAGCCCCCTTTACCACCATGCCACCTGCCGGCCCCTCATCTGTTTTTGCTCTTTAAAGTGTGACTCCTGGCCCAGTCGTGGTAGCACTTGCTGGTCACTGATGTTATGCAGTAGGCTGAGGCCACCTGGGAGGCCCAGGTTTGCTGCCCAGCTCACTCAAAAACAGTGTGGTGGTGTGTGCCTGCAGCCTTGGCTACTCAGGCCAAGGCGGGGTGTCTATCAAAAAGAGTGTCTACTAGAAAATTTTCAATTGCTTAAGTGGCTTGCATTGTATTTCTATGGAACAGTGCTGGTCTGTGAAAAGGTTTGTTCTTGGGGCCAGCAGTTAGCATAATAGCTATGTTGCGGAACTCCCATGTAGCCGACCATAGTTCAAATCCCAGACCCGGTGGCTTAAACTCACGCCGGGCGCGTGTGTGTGTGCCCAAGATCCCGAGAGGAGAATGGAGAAGGGATTGCAGCGTGGCCATCCCCCCTGGGGGGTGATTTCTCGCTTTCTATCTCTGTCTGTCTCTGTCTTTCTGGCGAGCGCACGCGCCCTATAGCAAAAACCCCTCCAAAAAATCATTTAAAAAAAAAAAGGTTTGTTCTTTATCCAGAATATACCTTCATCAGTCTTCATCAGGGAGCTATCAAAATAAGCCTTGCATTTTGGAGTAGGAAGAATAAAAACTCTAACTGTTCTCAAGATCTTATGGGTTTGAACATATTTTCATTTTCAAACAAAATTTAAGCTGAGCTGAAAGGTAACTTGGTGAGTGAGTGTCAGGATCTGGATGTGACCAGGGCCATCTGCATAATTAGTTGAGTTGAGAATGAAGACTCAGGTGGGAGACCCTCCCATTCCCCCAAGCCCAC